CACGATTTACAGTACACCTACGATCACGTTTTTTTTATAAGATTCACTTTGTTGTTTTCATGTAAATAACTTGACGTTTTGGTCAATATTTGAGACGTTTTGTCGTTTTTGTAACAAAAAACAATAATTTTTATTAGGATTAAACGTTATTGTAGACGGAGGATTGATTTCATTAACGAAATATAGTTGAGAGGATTTTTCATGATTCGATAATATTGGGAGAATTTTTTATTAAAAACCCTAATTTTTTTATAAATGTTTAGTGTTCGAACCTAAATAGTTATCTTATTATATAAAGGAGAATGCGCGCGATGAGAGCTTGACACGTAGGCATCTTAAGCATCAGATTGTGACATGTGTAATTATTAATTTAGATTGTCACATGTGTCAATATTAACAAAAATGTTTAAAAAGAAAATAAGAAATATCTTATTATATAAAGGAGAATGTGCGCGATGAGAACTTGGCACGTATGAAAAATTCTTAAGTACTAGATTGTGACATGTGTCAATATTAACAAAAATGTTTAAAAATAAAATATGAAATATATTCTAAACAAAGATTATGAAATATAATATTTTCAATATTAACAAAAAAATAAAGAATATATTATAAACAAAAGTTAGAAATTAATAAAGAAAAAAGAAAAAAACCGTTCTACTAAAATATGTAATATTTCTAAATTTTTATATTACAAAATACATTATTTCCATTATAAATTATCTAAATAGTTAAAGACAAAAGAAAATTTTATATTTATAAGTGTGAATTTGCTACTAAAAGCATAACATATAAACATTACATAAGCCATAAAATAAACAAATAATACATATAGTATAAAAATCTCAATTAAAATAAATAAAAAGACGAATGATAAAAAGAAGAAGGTATTTAAATTGGAAAAACAAAATTTAGAAACATTATAAAAATCTCAATTTAAAAGTTTAATATATACTCAACCATGAAAAAATAAAATAAAAATAAAATCTATACGAACACTTATTTTATGTGACAAAAAAAAGAACACTTATTTCATCAATATAGAGTTCTAAAATATCACAAAYAAWYWAYWWWTTT